AAAAAGTTGTGATTCAAAATTCTTCCCTTGATCAGTGTGAACTTCACTTGGAATTCCATGCCTTGAGATAAATTGATTAACAAAGACTTCAGCGACCATTTTAGCTCTGATATTTTTAATAGGAAAAGCCTCCACCCATTTAGTGAAGCAATCTACGATAACAAGCAAATATTTGTTTCCGGATCTTGTCAAAGGAAGAGGACCAAGTATGTCCATCTGTATTCTCTCTAATGGAGCTCCAACGTTAAAAATTTGTAGAGGAGATTTCCCTTTTCCTGAAGGACCTTTTTTTGAAACACAGATTTTACAGGTTTTGCACCATTCCTCAACATCTTGTTTGCAGGTTGCCCAGAAGAATCGTTTTCGAATTTTTCCTAGAGTCTTATTGGCTCCGAAATGTCCTCCTGTTGGAGAATCATGCGTCTCCTCTAATATTTCCTTTATTCGTACTCGAGGAACCACGAGTTGGAGAAAATTTGATTTTAAATTTGGAGCTTCCCATTTTTTATAGAGGATCCCATTTTTCACAATCAAAGAATCCCAATACGACCAATATATTAGAGTTGAAATGTCCTCTCCGACTATTTCTGAGCGTGGGGGACGAATTTTTGTTTCCTTGGCACGAAGAATAAATGAAATGTCAGGATCTTGTCGTTGCATTTCACGCCAATTTTCCAAATTTTCGCCTTCGAACACAATACGAGAAACTGTTTGTTCCCTCTCCTCTGAATTTTTCTTTTCCACTTTTGCACAATATTGACAATTGTTTGATTCACAAAGTCTTCTAGACAATCCGTCAGCATTATTGTGAGAAATCCCTTTACGATAGATAATCTCAAACTCGTATTGCTGTAATCTCTCCATCCATCGAGCTAATTGACCTTCCAAATCTCTGAAAGATAAAAGCCATCGTAACGAAACATGATCCGTACGGATTAAAAACTTTTGTCCCAAAAGATAATGACGAAAAAATTTTATAGAATCTACTATCGCTAAAAGTTCCCGGCGAGTAACGCAATAGTTCCGTTCGGCTTTATTAAGCACACGACTAAAATAAGCAATTACTTTCTCTTCTCCATCTTGTTTCTGAGACAACACTGCACCGATTCCTATATTCGACGCGTCGGTATCTAATAAAAATTCTCCCTTTTCCCTTGGAAAAGAAAGAATTGGAGAAGAACATAATAAAAACTTTAACTTTTCAAAAGCTTTTTGACATTCATCTCCCCATATGTATTTAATTTGACCTTCTGTCAACATGTAAAGGGGTTTAGCTAAGGAAGAGAATCCTTTAACAAATTTACGATAATAAGAACAAAATCCCAGAAAACTTCGTAATTGTTTTTTTGTGTGAGGTATTGGCCAATCTTTAACAACGGAAATCTTATCGGGATCTGTAACAACGCCCTCCGCGGAAACCACATGACCCAAATATTTTACAGTTTTACTAAATAACACACATTTCTTCGGATTTATTTTTAAATTTGCTTCTCTTAATCGTAAAAATACTGTTCTAAGATTGTTTATCATTTCAGTAAAACTTTTCCCAAAAATTATCACATCATCCAAATAAACAAGGCAAATTTTTGATAATAAATTTTGTAAGACCTTTTCCATAAGGCGTTCAAATGTTGCAGGGGCGTTACACAACCCAAAGGGCATAATTGTAAATTGCCAAAGTCCTTTTCCTATTGAAAAAGCCGTTTTCTCTTTGTCTTCGGGACGGATCTTAATTTGCCAATACCCACTTTTAAGATCAAGAGTGGAAAACCAAGAATTACCTGTTAGCTGATCAAGAATGTCATCAATTCGGGGAAGGGGATAAGAATCCTTAATAGTCACCTCGTTTAATTTTCTATAATCAACACAGAACCTTATAGAACCGTCCTTCTTTTTAACCATGACAGCAGGAGAAACCCATGGACTATGTGACTCCTCAATTACTCCACGTGAACTCATATCTTCCAAAATCTTATCGACTTCTTCCCTCATTTGAATCGGAATCCTACGAGAAACCTGTTTTATGGGAGGAGAATCTCGCACATTTACATTATGTTCTACAACAGTACAATTTCCCGCAATAATGTTCTCAGAAAATAAATCATCAAATTCATTAAGAAAATCGACAAAACTTTCCTTTTCTATTTCAGTTAAATGTTGAGAATTCATTTCATAGAGTTCTTTCAAGGGGATTGGAACTTTTTTAAAAGAATCTTCAATTCTAGCTATTTCTTTTTCAAACGTCGGAATTCCAAAAGCCGAATCAAAAATTTTTTCCAAATTTACCATTTTTAGAAAATCTATTCCCAAAAGACATTCATCATTTATGTCTGCAATAAACATTGGAATTTTTAACGAATATTTCCCTAATTCGACTTTAACTTCTGCCCAAAATTCTACACAAACTTTTTCTCCGGTGGGATATCTTAAATTAACAAAATTCTTAGAAATCTTCCTTTTCTCTTTTTCAACGAATTTGCTATTTATTATGGAAACATCGGAGCCCGTGTCAACCTTGAAAGAACATACTTTATCATCTATTTTTCCTTTAAAAATGAAATAATCATTATCCTTAATTCTATTTACATTTAATATAACTTCCGAGGAATTTTTCACGGAAGCCAAACTCTCCCCGGTAAGCTCGGCTAAACCAAGTTTCCCTTCTCAATAGGACATTCGTACCGGAAATGTCCGATTTTCCCACACGTCCAACATTCTCTTTGGCCGGCGCTAAATTTGCTGCCTGGCCAATTTCCTTTTCCGTTCTTTTCTTTCTTATCTCTTTCATCCCGTTCGCCTTCTAATTTATTACCCTGCGCGTTCTTTTTTTCAATACTCGAAAAATTTTTATTAAAATTAAAATTTCCTCTCTTTCTTTCGTAACCCTCCCCTTGAATTATTTTTATGGCTTTTGCCCTTTCAATTGCCAAACTCAATGAGGTTATATTTTCTAATTGTAAAGTTCGTTTGACAAAATTATCATATATCGCTGAAATGAATTGCGCGCAGGCGATTTTATCTCGGATTTCGTGTGGGCACTCGGGATACGCAAGGCGAACCAATCTTTCAAGTTCCGAACCTAATGTTGCCAAATCTTCCCCAAATTTTTGTTTCCGATTTGTAAATTGAACGTAATAATTTTGTGATAAGAGTCCTTCTCCAAAACGCAATTCAAGTTTTGATTTTAATTCGTTGAATTCTAAATTGGACACGTCTTCTACCGTCTCTAATACTGAACGCGCTTTTCCCCTCAAATTCGAAGCGAGTGCAACAGTCTTTGTTGTATCATCCCAACTATTCGCTTGAGCAATTAAGTTAAACTGCGAGAAAAATTCACGAAGTGATACTGTCCCGTCATAAGTATCAGGTTTTAATTTGTACCCTAATATCGCGCGAAAATCGTTCTCCCTCTCATTTAAAAAATGCGTACCCGAATTTCCACACGTTCTATTATTAGAAGGACTTAGCTGTAGATTTTGTGGCCGGGAATGAATCTCCTTCAAGGCTAGAAGTTCCTCGTCGTGACGACGCAGCATCGCCGCAATTTCGTCCTCTCGACGAGTCTGTTCCTGTCGCATCTCTCGCATTTCAAGAAGGAGAACCCGAGCTGTAGATTCTGTTACCGCCGGTTCTCCTGCGACTTCCGGTAACGAGCCCGTTTGCTCTCCTGATTCCTCGCTGCCAGTCGTTCGAGACGGAGCTTGTGAACGGGTAATTCTCGGGGAATGTATCATTCTCGACGTTTCCGTTCCGCTGCGGTGAGATATTCCTTCGATCCGATCCCGGACGAGCCCCCAAAATGTTACGTCCTCCGGACGTTCTTTCTCGCAAAAGACGTCTCTCGCACACACTCTCACTCACTCGCGGCTCGCGAAATAAATACACTCTCTTATGAAGAAATGATCCTTTATACAATGATGAAATACAATGACTAATGTACACGCGAAAGAAAGAAGATTGCTCTCTGGTCAAGTCACGTCCGTACGAGATGACAGCTAGACCAAAACTGTCATGGAGCCTGAAAACAACCACCGGGCGGTTGTCAATAAACAACCCCCCTTAACGATGAAGCTCCACGACACAAGGGATGATATTCAGGGGATGAAAGATCAGGGACGTAACAATATATATATATATATATTTCACAGTTTATGTAAATTATGTTAAATTAAAGTATAAAATATCAGTTTGCTACTTGGAGTGGTTTCATTTAAAAAATTTTGATGAGCTTACCTTGACCTTGACAATGCCACTCATCAATGCCAAAAATCAAAGTGATGAAATCTGTAAATATATATGGTAGATATTTTTAAATCCTACAATTTTTATCTAAAACCTTTTTTTTATGCATTATTTGTGACGCTCAATCGTCTCTATATTTGGATGTATATACGGATGTCCTGAAATTAATGTCAAAACTTCAAAAACATGTAAAGATCAATAAATTAAGAAAAAAATCCTTTTTTTTTAAGAAGAGATTTATTTGTTTTTTTTTGCTTTGTTTTAAAAAAATTGCTAAAAAACAAAATGAAAAATTTTTTACTAAAAACTTAAAGTTATTACTAATTTTAACTATTATTACAACATTAAAATTATTAATTATTTATTAAAAAATACTATGAAATAAAAGTTGTAGAGAATATAGACTTAAGAAAAAAAAGAATGTATTAAAATCATCCGAAAGTAAAAAAAAGGATATTATAAATAAATATGCGACAACATGAGATTATTATATTCTGTTTAATTTTGTAATTATACTATTTTTAAATGCTCCAATGTCAAATACAAGAAAATATTAAAATAAAGTTTCCTATTTTAAAAACTTAAAAGTAATCTTGATATATCTTTAACACTTATATTTTTTTTATTATAATTTTTCATACTTTTTAAATATATATACATATATATGTATATGTTTGAGTAACTCAATTTAATTAGATCACCCTGTATACATACGCATATGTATATATTATTAAAAAGGAAATTGTATCTTTAATTAGGTGCAAGACGAATGGGAAAATAACAAGTTTGTCATAAAACATGAAGATGAGGATGTACATAGCGCTAATGAACGAAGACTTTCGGTATATTAAAATAATGGCATAATTGATTATATGGCTATTACTTTTATATGCTTAATTAATTAATTACTATACATGCTTATAATATACTTTAATTTAACAAATTTTAAAAAATATTAAAATTTTAAAAACGATGATTTTGAGTGGATCTTTTCGCTATTACTATAGTTGTTTTTTTAAATTATTATACAACGTTATCTTTAATATTATTCTCTCCAAATTAATGAAACTATAAACAACATAAATATACATACGAGGTCTGTAAATAAAATAATGAGACTTTTTTGAGATAAACTTTTATTTATAATTTAACTATAATTTAACTCTGTCTCCTTCAAAATAGTTCCCTTGGGAAGCCATCCAGTGTCTGAGACGTTGTTTCGAGTCTTCAAAGCAGTGGTGGCACTCAGAAACCTAAATGACCTTTAGCTGGTCAGTTACAACCGCTTTTACGTTTTTGGTCGTATCAAAGTGATGTCATTTGAGATGAGTTTTCAATCTCGGGAAGAGAAAGAAATCACAGGGACTCAAGTCAGACGAATACAGGAGCTGGAGGACGACAGGGATATTTTTCCCACAGGGGCGCTGTGGACACGGCACTTTCGATTACGGAGTTTTTGGAAAACATCCCTGTTGTCCCCCGGCTTCTGTATTCGCCTGACCTGAATCCCTGTGACTTCTTTCTCTTTCCGAGATTGAAAATTTATTTCAAAAGACATCACTTTGATACGACCGAAAACATAAAAGCGGCTGTAACTAGCTGAAGGCCATTCGGGTTTCTGAATTCCAACACTGCTATAAAAACTGGAAACAACGTCTCAGGCGCTGCGTGGCTTCTCAAGGGAACTATTTTGAAGGAGACAGAGTTAAATTATAAATAAAAGTTCATCTTGAAAAAGTCTCATTATTTTATTTACAGACCTTGTATATAAATTCTTAAAAATATTTCATATTGATAAACAATAATTAATATTATTATAACTGTTTCATGTTTATATACAGGAATTAATTGGTGATATAGCAAAGAAATTACATACTGGAAGGAGTCGCAATGATCAGACTGTGACTGATACCAAATTATGGCTTCGAAAGTCAATTGATAAACTTCTGTTTAGAATAAAAAATTCGTAGAGGTAAGTAAAGCAATATCATTTATATAAATCCGAATCCTGACCCCAAAACAAACAATTACAAACGAATATTAGCAAATAAACAATTATTAGTGAAAAGTCATTAATATAAATTTTTTATTCTTTTGTCAAATTTTACATTAAACATTTTTTTTAATTTTTAATATAAAATTATTAATTAAATAATACATTTTTGTTAATATTAATTATACTTGTTCTTAAATTGGATATAATAATAAGGATCAATAAATTAAGAAAAAAGTCCTTTTAAAAAAAAGAGATTTATCTCTTTTTTGCTTTATTTTGAAAAAAATCGTTAAAAAACTTATCTAGATAAATTTTAATATAATATATATTTTGTTATTTGTAATTTTGTCTTTATAATTTTTTGTTGTCATGTTATTGAATATAGTCTTGTCTGAGCCATCATACGGGTCGGACGTGTTTACAACGCGCTGCCGTTCCGAACGCGATAAAATATCTCAGTGTTAACTTTCAGTAATACGATAGTGCTAATATTTATCACCTAAAATCAAACATCTGTATGTAAAAAAGCTAAAGTACTTAACAAACAGTAATACACATTGCTGCTCAGCTAAAATAATTCGCGGCCACTATGGCCAACGGATGTAATAATACCGCCGCGTAATTCGCGCAGACAACAACCCATAGCAATGCACATATGCAGACGGACACGATGCCGCAACAGAATAAATTAGATGCATTGGGTCAGATAACCGCAGTCGAGACAGATCAGGTATCTTATAATAATGATGAGATAACTTCAAAAAAGTATACCTCCATAAAACATAACGAATGGCAAGAGGTTAAAAGCAAGAACAAACGACCTAGATCCAGTCCAGAAAATAATAGTATACGGCGCAACTCAAAACAAACACGTATTGCCGATTACTAGCTAAAAGCACCAATTAGTGTAGCAAACAAATACAAACAACTAGACAACCAGTAATTCGAAGGAACAGAAAATATACATACTGTTAAACCTATAAAAGCTCTACCCATATTTATTTCAAGAATCAATGATATTAGTCCGTTAATGAACATGTTAAATCTAATTACAAAAGACAATTATACTATTAAAGTTCAAAACCAAGAACAAGTTAAAGTTCAAGCTAAAACTATCGAGGCTTATGATATAATTGTCAAATCATTAAAAGAAAAAAAACACCGAATATTACACCTATCAGAAAAAACAAGATAAACCCTTCAGAGTAATACTACGAAACATGCATCACTCGAGTGAAATTGATAGTATAAAGGAGGAAATAGAAAGTCACGGCCACACGGTGATAAACATTATAAACATGCGACAAAAAATAACGAAAAACCCCTTACCAATGTTCTCTATAGATCTAAAACCAGATGAAAAGAATAAAAGTATTTATATGATCAAATATCAGCTAAACACAAAAATTAAAATTGAAGCGCCGCACTTTAAACGCGAAATACCTCAATGCATAAACTGCCAACAATACGGCCATACAAAAAATTTTTGTTTCCATCCACCGAAATGTATAAAATGCACAGGTAAACACAGAATATCAGACTGCTTATATAAAGGAAGATCTGATAAAGTAAAGTGCGTTCTGTGCAGCGTGAATCATCCAGCCAACTATAAAGGATATATAATTTATAAAGAACTACAAAAAGCCAAATTTCCGGCTCTGAGAAATAAAAAAATTGATCCAAAACAAAATACTATAAAACAAACTGTACATTCACAATAAACAACGGAGTAAACTCAACCTGACAGCGCAAGACTCTCCTATGCACAGGCTACAAATGAAGAAAGGACGCAAGGACATCCCCATAGCTTTTCAGCATCAATTCAACAACTCCAAGAACATCAAACTAATGATCTTCAAGAACTCCACGATAAAATGCCTCACGGAACAACTGAGTACTATATTAAACCTACTAACTACTCTAATCTCTAAAATGTCACAATGATCAAAATCCTACAGCTAGTAATCTGGAATGCCAATGGCCTAACAAAACACAAACTTGAATTACAAACCTTCTTGAAAGACCAAAGCATAGATATTATGTTAATAACTGAAACTCACTTTACTAAGAAGAGCCACATCAAAATCCCCAGATACTCAATTTATCACACTATGCATCCAGATGATACTGCCCACGAATTTGCCAATATCATCAAAAACAACATAAAACATCACGTAATTAACGCATTTCACCATCATCAGAACAAATACAAGCCACAAATGTAGTTGTAGAGGACTGTGTTGTTTGGTCCTTTTATTATTTCAGCAGTGTACTGTCCTCCGAAGCATAACACAAAAGAAAATAACTTTGTACCCTATTTTAAAACACATTTTAAAATACTGGATAATCGATTTATTTTCGGAGGAGATTACAACGCCAAACATCCACAATGGGGTTCACGTTTAATGACACCACAGGATAAAGAACTCCATAAAGCTATAAAGCACCTAAAGTCCGAATCGGTGTCCACGAGAGTACCGACGTCCTGGGCTACAGACAGAAGAAAGATCCCAGATATTATCGACTTCGACATCACCAAGAACATAAACAAACGTTATCTAAAGCTAAATCATGCCTGGAACTGTCTTCAGATCACTTGCCAGTATTATTCACCTTGAGCAGCAAAATGCTTGAAAAAGAAGAATCGTGCACATTGTGCAATAAAAGAACCGACTGGGAATATTTCCGACTACAAATAGAAGAAACATTAAACACATCAATATCCCTATAAACTGAGAAAGAAATCACAGAATCAATAGAGCACTTCAATTAATGCATACAGCAAGCAGCATGGAATGCTACTCCGCTTAACTCAACAAAAGCCATTGCTAACGAATTTTCGACATCGATAAAATTAAAAGTAGAAGAAAAACGTAAACTCAGGAAACAGTGGCAGACAACTAGATCACCAGAATTAAAATCTAAGTTAAATAAAGCAATCAAATGCCTACGTAAGATGCTTAATTTAGAAAGAAATCAAGATATAACGGAATACCTACAAAACTTGAGTGCAACGCAAGCAACTAACTACTCACTCTGAAAGGCGACCAGGCGATTTAAACAACCTGAAATCCCAATATCACCAGTGCGTTCACCAGATGGAAAATGAGAGAAGTGCAAAAGAAAAAGCGGATACATTCGCTCAACTCCTAAAAGATGTCTTTACCCCACATTCCGAGAAAGCACAATCAGAAAAAGGAGAAGATGAAATCTGTCGAGCGATAAATGAATCCTATCAACTGAAATTACCTCTGCATAAATTTAATATGAACGAAATCATCAAACCCCCCCCCCCCATCAGTTATCTAAATCCAAAAAAGACACCAGGTTATGTCCTAATTACCGGTCAAATACTTCAAAATCTGCCAGAGAAAGGGTGGAAATTTATAACTCAACTATTCAATGCTATAATGAGAATCAATTTCTTCCCGCTACAATGAAAGGTGTTTCAAATCATACTAATATTAAAGCCAGGGAAAAACCGGAAGATATCAAATCATATCGTCCATCTTGTCAAAGGTCTTTGAAAAGCTGCTGCTCTCAAGGTTAAGACCAATAATAGATAAAAAAGGATTAATTCCTAACCATCAGTTCGGTTTTCGACAAAAACACGCTATTACCGAACAGGTTCACCGTATCTATAAAAAGATATACACAGAGCTAGAGGAGAAAAAGTATTGCTCGGCTGCCTTTTTGGACATCACCCAAGCCTTCGACATAAGGTATACAGCACGATAGCCTATTATACAAAATCAAACAAAATCTACCTATAAATTCAAGCGGGAGTGCCACAGAGAAACGAACTAGGCCTAGTGCTCTACCTCCTCTACGCGGCTGACTTACCTACAACAATTGAAGTAACAACAGCAACATTCGCGGATGACACTGCAGTTATAGCCTCTCAAGCAAATCCTGTAATAGCCTTTCAGATGCTACAAATAAATTTTAATGCCATTCAAAAATGGTTGAAAAAGTGGCGTATAAAAGCTAATAAAACCAAATCAGTCCATGTGATCTTTACTACCCGAAGAAAAACCTGTCCTCAAATGACACTCAACGATCAACCAATTTCACAATCAGAGTCTGCTAAATACCTAGCCATTCACTTCGATCGCCGACTAAACTGGCAAACACACATTTTCACTAAAAGGAAGCAGCTTGGACTTAAACTACGTAAAATGTTCTGGCTACTACGACAAGGATCACAACTATCAGTGAAGAATAAACTACTGTTGTATAAGGCAATTAAAACCAGCATAGACGTATGGCATCCAGCTGTGGAGAACAGCATCCAATTCCAACGTAAAAATACTACAGCGCTTCCAATCCAAGGTCTTAAGAATGATTCTAGATGTTCCATGGTTTGTAACCAACAATTCCATACAATACGACTTCCAAACCTGAGCGTCAAAAAAGAAATTATAAAGTGTTGTACAAACTATCATAATAGAATTCTAAATCACCCGAACTCTCTAACAGTAAACCTCATGAAACAATCCTTTAAAACAAGAAGAATAAAAAAAATATCAATAGACTTTATATCCTAAAATATACAATATTGTGACATAACTTAACTTACTTTAAAAACTTTAGATCTACACACCTCAAAGTATTAATAATTATATAATTACATAAAGTATAATCTATATAAGGTTGTATCACTGGAAACGTGCTTCTCATGTTCAATTCCACGACATAAATATAGCTAAATGTCCTACATACATGGACAGATTATAATAAAATTAGGATGAAAAAAAAAATATTATTGATTATAAAAGTAAATCTTTACATTAGAAATAAGGAGTATCAAAAGGCTTGCAAGAGCTGTGTAAGTGACAATTAAGTTTAATAAGAATCACCGCATATAATAAGAAGTTGTAAGATACAATAAAAAAATAATTAAATAAGACATGGTTAATCGCATATATAAAATTTAACAATTACAATAAAATAAATTACATAAATAGACTAATAACGGAAAGTTAAAAAGAAGTCATAACGGACGTTTCGACTTGATTTTTCAAGTCGTCTTCAGCGCAAAATATAAATAATTACAAAAAGAATCAACTAAAACATTGTATCAAAGTGATAACCTACGGAAGTCATAATGTGTTTAAATTATTTTACAATAAAAATACAGATGTTAAATAAGTTGGCCTAGGATAGTCAATTGTGTTTAACAGAAGTTGCAAGTAAATAATTATTCAAAAAGTAAACTAAAAAGTAAACTAAAAGCGTTGTGGGAGTCGTGAAGATATCTGCTCTGTGCATCATTTCATAAATACATATTTCATCTCTAATTAATAGATTGAGATGAACTCTGATTGTAAAAGACATGATCTTGTGATTTCTGTAACCGTTCAAATTTTATAATCTAATTGTAAACAATAACTAACACAATCTTTAAAATATATGAGATATGCTTACATAATTATAATGATGTCAACCTTAATAAACAAATTTAAACGCACGCCTTCTTCACGACACTACGGTTAGAATACGACTGTCACGTTGGTTCTTAAAAACTGTTAAGCTGTTTGCCTGTTTACTAATTTGTGACTTTGAAATTTCGGGAGCTTGTTTAATATGTTACTATATATGTCAAGCAAATTTTCTGTATAACTTTGTAGGTTAAGATTAATGTTTTGTCTCTTAATATGCATCGTTTCAGATATAAGACGTTTACTATAATTTGATTCCTTATCTAATATTTTTACATCATCCCATTTAAATTCATGATCGAAATTTAGTCTATGTTCAGTAATGACAGATTTGTTAGTACAGTTTTTATTAATATGTTTTTTATGTTCTGAAATCCTTGTGTTAAGTTTTCTACATGTTTGGCTTACGTATGTTGCGTTGCAGTTATTGCATTCAATTTTATAGACCAAATGAGTGTTGGAACCTATAGGAATTTTATCTTTATGCGTTTTAATGAACTTATTACATTAGCATTTTATTTACATCAGCATTATATAATTTATATAAAGAGTTCATAGTCATAATTTTATATTTTCGTAAAAATTTTGAAAAGTCGTCCAAAATTATCCAAAAAGTTAATTTCATTCATTATTCATTGAAAATTTTTATTTTAGCGAATCTATCTAAAAGAAAATATTACATAATTGCTGTTCTAAAAATAAACATTAAAAAAAAATTAACTTATTATATATTTTAAAATGATAATATACGAATTATAATATAAAAAATGTTAAATAAGATATTAAATTTTAATTCATCTTGAAAATAGATTCTCCTAGCTCGTGCAGAAGAAGATATAGACGTACTTATGCCCGGATATACACATATGCAACGGGCACAACCTATAAAATGGAGTCAGTGGTTACTTAGGTAAAATAATTAATTTATAAATTTTAAATGCAAATTAATAAAGAAGATAAAATAATTTTTTTAGGAATATATTCTATAGTTATATCACATTAAAAACTTTTTAACATAATAAAATCTTTTAATACGAGTAATTATCTGTCCGCATTTTATATTAGTTAAATCTTTATTATTGTTTTTTACAAAATAATGATATCAAAAAATTGCATTAATTAAGAAAATTATGCACATTATGAAATTTAATGTTTATACATATATGTATACATCAACATAACATTTTCTAAGTAAGTACAATTTAAAGGAATATTTCTTCGTTTCTTTTATGAAGATAAGATCATATAAGCGCGCATATATCCTAAACTGCTATATTTTCAAAATACAAAATGTCAAAATTGTGAAACAAATATGAAAAATATTGGGAATAGATTAATTATACACATCAAACTTTTCGAATCTTCGAAATACTCAACAGACTAAAGTAGACTTATTAAGGGGATGCAGGATGTTTGTTTTTACCGACCGAATTCGAATATTAAGTAATGATCAAATATCTATTTATTGAAACAATACAAATCTAAACAAGGCTTATAGAGCCAAGCGCAAGGTGTAGGGGAGCGCAACAAGAATAACACAATAACTTGTAAGACCAACAAGTTTATTCAATATAAACGTTTCAGTTCTTTCTTTGGACCATCTTCAGTATAATAGCAACAAACATAACACAAACCATGAGAAAGAAACTGTCTCACAACTTTCAAATTCTCAATCGCATTACGTGTAGTGGGCCTCCCAAATTGTCCCCAGCTGGTCAAACATCACAAAGTAATGAAATAGTAATAATACTTTCAAAGGTAATCCATCCTGAATGTAGCCAGTAAGCACTTCCAATAGGAGGCCCACTACCACTCACAAATACACATCACACATATTCGCACGCTACCTAACCCGGACGCGTCCGGCGCACAAATGAGGCATGAAAACAAGATATGAGACTATTTATAGGTCATCGAACAACGGTTCATTTCCCTTTAAGAGGGAATCAAACTTAATTATATAAAAGCCTCAATAACAACAAGTTTATAATCTTGATTTATGACTCTTTAAGAGAGTTTGTAACAACCATACAAAAGTCAGAATTTCAATAAATTTGAGACATATTTGTAACAATAAATATATATGCCTGATGTAGACACTCGGTGTCTTCCTGGCAATTTAAACCTTCTGACGCCTAATAAACAACATTTCTGAAAAAAGTCTCTTTTTCAAGAACGGCACTTCATCCAAAATTTCAACATTATCCCAATCAAATTCATGATTGTTAAGTCTGTGGTCCGTGATAACGGATTTCTGTGTAGTATTTCTATTGATGATTTCTGTGTTCTTCAATGCGTGTTTTTAACTGTCTGCCTGTCTGGCCCACATAGGACGCATCACAATTTTTGCATAAAATTTTGTACACTACATTATTATACCAATCTTTAGATATTGTATCCTTATGGACGCGGATGAACGAGCGGAGCTTATTCATACCCGTGTAAAATTTCTTTACATCCAAATTCCGGACCACTAGACTGAACTGCTCGGAAAATTTAGGTACATATGGTATATTGAAATATGTGACGGGCGCCGAATTGACATTCGTGACTCCATTATCATAATCTAAGTTATTATTCTGCGCTCTAGCAAATAACGTCTTGAGCCGCTTACGAAGCGCATCAAAAATTAAATTTAATGGAAACTCATTATCACGCAAAACCTTTCATCCTTTAACAATGTCGTAATCTCTTCCTTACACATTAGGGAGAAATGGTTTAAAAACCTTTTCTCAAAATACACATCCCAGTATTGTTACAAACTGACACAAAAAAAGCCGATAACAAAACTGTAATTTTTCATTTTTATGTGATTTATATATGGAATTATAGCTAGCGCGGTCCATTTTTATAAGTACTTTAATCGTGAAAAACGATTTATTGATATGTATAATCAATAAAAAATATTTAAAAATAACTTAATATTCGCATTCGGTTGGTAAAAACATACCTCCGGCATCCCTTTAAGTATAGAAGCACGGTTCTCGGTACCTCGCGGGTCGCACGAGCTGGGGTACTTTACTATAGTTTACGTCACATATATTGTACTGAAATGCTGTAGATAGTACAGTATACATGACGTAAACTATAGCAAAGTACCCCAGTTCGTGTAATCCGCGGGGTACCGAGAACCGTGCTTCTATATTCTTTGCTTTTAGTCTGTTATCAAAATCAATCGTGTAATTTTTACGTTAAATTATTAAATTACTAGATAATGTGCGCGAATACCAATTTTTCTTAGCATACTACTACTTGTAAGATTTATTTCAAGAAATGTATCTGAATCTGAAATTACTAAATTCGCTTATTTTCCCCTGATCTCCCTGTAGAAAAAAAGGCGAAAAAATATTGGCCCAAAAGTTGTTAAATCGAAAATTGAACCCGAGGTTTTCGAATTTAAATTCGAATTGTTATTTGCTTATCCTCATAAATCCGCAACATACCGAGCGCGCAAAGCGAGAAACAAGCGCCAGCTGGTTTTTTCTTGATAAAATAAATCAAGGAATATCCCCTGAAATTTTTTGTACACCCTGTGTATGAGTGTAATGCTTCAATATTACCTACAATTATTGTATTAAAAAAGTACAATAATTGCGTATTTTATTTAAGTATGGTGTATACGTATTTTAATATAATTTTAAAACAAACAAGATATATTTTCTGATAAAGAATTTTTCAAAACATAATGTGCGAATAAATATAATATAATTAAAGTAATTAAAAATAAAATTTAATGCAATTTACTTGGTTAATGTGGAATTATTTATGTAATTTAATTTGCATTTTAATATTTTAATACAATAATTAAAAATATTAATAAATAATAATGATTCAAAAACAATAATTTTTAATATAAATTTAAAGTGTAACACAGGCAATAACAGCCAAATCGCAGATGACAGTGCGTTATCCCAACGAAACTAAAATTTTTTTTCCGTTAGAATTAAATACCTGTGCACAAGGCACCAAATTTTACGGCCTATCTTGGTCACGGCCAAGATTTAAAATTGGAATAATCTCTACAAGAGATTTAATTCCATACATCCCCTCTTTCCCCCTAAGGAAATAAATTTTAAATCTTGGCCGTGACCAAGTAAAATTTGGTGCCTTGTGCACAGGTATTTAATTCTAAAAATAAAAATATTAGTTTCGTTGGGATAACGCACTGTCATCCGCGATTTGGCTCTTATTGCCTGTCTTACACTTTAAATTTATATATTTATATTATAGAGCCTTACTAAACTCTTAATTTATACACGCTGGCTTAAAGGCGTTTGTTTACCAACATTATTATATATATAGCAGAGAAAAGTATAGAATCGAAAGGATCTGAATAGCTCAGTTGGAAGAGCAGTCGCCCGGCAAGCGAGAAAGGTCTCGGGTTCGATTCCCGATTCAGCGACTTTCGGATCTATATTTTTCTCTCGCATTTATTTCCTTAGGGGGGAAGAGGGGATGTATGGAATTAAATCTCTTGTAGAGATTATTCCAATTTTAAATCTTAACCGTGACTAACAATAAGTAAAATTTGGTGCCTTGTGCACAGGTATTTAATTCTAACGGAAAAAAATTTTAGTTTCGTTGGGATAACGCACTGTCATCCGCAATTTGGTTCTTATTGCCTGTCTTACACTTTAAATTTATATTTATATTATAGAGCCTTGTTAAACTCTTAATAATTTTCAAATTTCGATTTGAGAATTTTTAATAGTTCATTCCTACATCATTTGAATAAATTCTTTTTTACTATTTTCTCAAATTTCGCAGTTATGCTTGCTACGCGAAGCACGATTTGGAAAGACTATTAGAGGTGCGTAAACGCGTAAACATCTTACCACTTGGTAGCGGTGCAATAGCTGGAAATCCTTTCGCCATTGATCGTCAATTTTTGGCTATGGAACTTGGTTTCGATGAAATTACCGAAAATAGTATGCATGCTGTCGGAGATCGAGATTTCGTCGGTATATATTTTAAATTCAGGCTTTTTTAAATTATTATACTTATTTTAAATCTATTTTTTCTTAATAAAATTCTTTTATTAAAAAAGATCAACACTATTGGATCAATTTTCTAATTTTACTAATTATCTTTACAATCTTGTTTTTAATTAAATTCTTTTAAAATAAAACATATTTAAAATTAACGGGAAAACTAAACATAATTTTCATATTTTGTTTTCTTCTGAAATTTAATTTGCAAAAAGTTGTTCTTTTTTAATCGGTTATAACTCAAAATTAGTCTTGATGGCATTATAAAAGGAAAATGGACTCTCTCAAAATCAAAAATACAAATTTTTAATAAAATAAGATATTTCTTTTTTCGCACTATAAGTGTTTAAATAATTTTTGTGCAACCAGCGCGCGAAAAGTCGCCCTTTCCGCACATGATGGGATTTTAGAAAGGGCTCCTTTTCCACGCACCGGTCACACAAAATATCATAGCCAACATGTGCGGATCATAAATCGGTCGATCGTGCGGATTGTCACACTCGGCTTCGCCTCGTGCGCCAAACTTCCGCACTCTCGGCCGATTTACGATCCCCCGCACTTGTTAGCTAATATACTATTAAGCATTACTTAGTTTTAATTTAATCTTTTAAGCTGAATTTCTATTTTGGTCATCATTATCATCGATACATCTGAGCCGCTTTTGCGAAGATTTGATTATCTACAGCACTCAGGAATTTAATTTTGTTCAATTTGCTGATAAATATTCCACTGGTAGCAGTCTGATGCCTCAGAAGCGTAATCCGGATTGCATGGAATTAATACGTGGAAAAACTGGCACTATATTTGGAAAGGTTTGTTTAAATATATTTAAATCATTGGTTCCTCATAACTACTAGATTACAAAGAAAGTTGTTAGAAAGAAGAAAATTTTCCATTTAAAGCAATTGCAAAAGTGTTTAAAAATTCAACATTATTAGAAAAAGTTGGTCTGATTTTAATTGGTAGAGTTAAATCGACGTAACTAGCCAGTTTATTTAATTAAATTTACAACGTTTCGATCATTTGGTTGTGGTCCTTATCAAGTGAAATACATTAATTAATAAACGATGTACTGATCAAATTGTACTTAAAAAGAATCTAATAAATTAACATAGTAATAAATATAAATAAGGAAAAAGAAGAAACACGTCTAATCAGTATGATGCTCAGTCAACAACAACATAATTAGACGTGTTTCTTTTTTTTCCTTATTTATATTTATTACTATGATAATTTATTAGATTCTTTTTAAGTACTATTTGATCAGTACATCGTTTATTAATTAATGTATTTCACTTGATAAGGACCACAACCAAATGATCGAAACGTTGTGAATTTAATTAAATAAACTGGCTAATTACGTCGATTTAACTCTACCAATTTATATTTACCACTAGCGATATATATACTATTCCTAAATTATTTGGTCTGATATTATTAAAGAAATCATATAATAAATTGACAAGAGACGGGTATAGTGTTTTAATTCTAACTATATCTATATAATTAACATATATATACATAATTATGCATAATTTTTATATATTCATAGAAATACATATAAAAAAATTTCAAGAAAATATTTTGAAAGATAAATTTATTCGTAAAATTATTTTAATTTTAGTGCACTGGTTTTATGGTGACACTTAAAGGAATTCCATCGACGTACAACAAAGATCTTCAGGAAGATAAAGAATCTTTATTTTATACATACGATACGTTATATCAGATGTTTCATATCGCCGAAAAAGCATTGGCCACCTTGAAAGTAAACAAGAAAAGTTGCGAGAGGGCTTTAACATCCGATATGCTCGCAACTGACATGGCATATTATCTTGTTAACAAAGGCGTAAGTATTGTTTTTCCATCCTTGAAAACTTGATTTTATTTGATCATTTTTAAAATAGTTTATTTTTGCTCCATTAACTTAATTTCTTTAAATTTTAATTACATTAGATAACATAAGCGTTATTGGTGCAATTTAATGTGTAATTTTTTATTATCATAAATTGTATTTTGAACACTACCTGTCACATTATTAACTCTCGCGATGACAGCTGCTATAAACACAAGCGCGCGCTTAATTTTTAATATAATTCACAATTGATTAAAATGTTTATAAATAACTGCTAAACAACTTCACAAAAAATAAAACTAATAATATATTAATTTTCACGTGTCCACACTTTTATTGCAAACAAAATAGAAAAGGAAAGTTATAACTTTAAAAATTAACTATTAATTATTAACTTTTATCAAAATATATATATATATATATATATATATTATATTACATACATTCATACAATATTTAATAATCTAATATTATAAACATTTATTTTTATAAATTGCTTGCATCAAGCATGATTTTTAATAGCTTTTTTAGATACAGATGTTTAACAGACTTGTTGAACTTTTTTTTAAACATAATTTGTATGTATTTCTGTGAAAAAAAACTATATTTATCATTAAAATGAGAAATATAATTTTCATGTAGTGTAAAGTTGCTAGCAATTATGAAGCTTATTAATTAATTACAGTTAAACATACAATTATTAATAATAATAAATTTGGATCAAAATATATATAGATATCATTTAGAGAAAGTCATCATCTAGCTGGAAAAGCTGTCGCTTTGGCTGAATCAAAAGAGATACCGTTGTCAAAGTTGTCCATGCAACAATTAAAAACGATAAGGTATATATAACCAAAATCTTTGAAGAAAAAGTAGTTGCATTTAAACAGAATTGTTAAAGAAAATTTAACTGTTTTAGCGAGGTGTTTGAAGAAGATATATCATGTATTTGGGACTTCAATTGCAGCGTAGATCAATACAAAACTGCCGGTGGAACTAGTTTTAAAGCAGTACAGCAGCAGATTAATAGTTTGCGATGTTGGCTGCGTAATTATTCATTAAAAGAATAATTATATCGAAAGATATTTATATCAAATTATATTTATATCAAAAGATTGAATTATATATGTGCTATCTCTAACAATAAATTATATTATACATACAGGATATAATAAAAAAAGAGCGAATAGTTCAAAGCATTAGAAAAAATTCCTATCAACATAGGTCCACAAACCATAACCAAGTTATGGATATTACAACTTTTTGAATTTAATTTTGAATTAAAATTTGTTTTAGTTTTTTATTATTTTTTTAGTTTTAGTCTTTTTAATTATTAAAAACAATAAATGTAATATTTTGATTTTATTTTATTTGTTTTGTTTTGTTTTTATTTGGCATCATCAATAATTTCTGTTATTTTAATAGAATTACTAAGAATTTTCATAAAGCTACAAGAATTTCTAGTCTCATCGGTAAAGATTAAACTGTTTAAGACTTTTTTGTTGCCCTGTATATATCTTTTAATATTACTTACTACTTATTGATAATATAAAATTTACTATTTTACATATATTAGTATTAGAATAATACGCTAGTTTGGCAGGCGGCAGAATGATACAAAAATGAATTAATTTAAAGGGTCCTTTTATTAGTCAATTCCATACAATTATGCAACTTTAAACTGACTATTAAATAATAATTTCTCTAAAGAATAATTCATAACAAAACACAAAAGATTTAGCCACATTATTCGTTACAAAAGATTTACATTAACATTTAGTTAAAGAAAAAGAGAAAAAAATCACAAAATTGTTAGAGTAAATAAAAACTTAATTAAAGGTATAAAACGTAATATGTGTAGAAATGAAACACAAACAAAAGATTAATTCTAATTGAATTGATTGTAATTTAATAGTATCTTATGTGGCAAGTGCGGAAAGTAACGAATTACATTGCGCGTGAAGTTGTCGCATGAACCGCAGGCTTATGATGCATTCACACAAGTACGAGACTATAACCAAACAAAAACTATCAATTAATAACCATTAAGAAAGAAGATTTTTTTCCGCACTAGTGCGGTAAAGTGTAACGATAGTAACACATTACCGTACTAGTGCGGTGAAGTAAATAATAAAGATGCTTTTCTCGCACTAGTGTGGTAAAGTAAGGCAAACATTGAATCGTTGAGAAATAAGCGATTTCCCGCACACTAAACAGCAATCGAAAATCGTTTCGCAACAGGCGTTACAAAAAATTATTGGTTTGATACAATAGTTTCTGAAAATAAAAATTAATAAGCGCTTTCTCCCCCCCCCCTTTCTCTCTCTCTCTCTCTCTTACCGGCTTCCTTGTGAGTACGTTCTCGAGCCGGTAAATATAAGAAAGTAAATTTTTAGCAGAGAAAAAGTACCTGTACTGCCCGAACATCCTTAACGTTCGCTTAAACGCTTCAAACTCATCAATTCGTTTTATTTTAGCTGGTAAGGCATTAAACATTTTCACTTCTTCATAAAACATACTCTTCTGCGCACTCGTGCTACAAAATTGCATTACAATGTTCCCTGCTTGTCGCGTCTGTCTTTCACTCTCATTTCCTACTACTGTTATTTTTTTAATTGACCTGGTAACATATTCCTTAAAATCATAAAAATAAATATACACACATTATAATATATCCTCTGTCTTACGGACATAAACTGCAACGCTTGCAGCATACGCTCTACTTTGGTATATCTATCACTTGCAATATGACCCTCATGGTCCGGTTTTGCGCTTTTTGCAACTCATTCAGCTGTGTTTCTCTCATATCAATTAACAGCGTCGCACAATACTCAAAGTGAGGCGCTATGATTGATTTATATATAATGCATTTAGTGTATGCCGATATGTAGTTACCTATTATATTTAAAAAACTCACTTTTTTCCCTATTTTCTTTAGCATTTAATTATAGTGGTCCTTAAATCTTAACTTATCATCAATAATTATGCCTAGATATTTCATTCTTTTCACACGCTCTATCTCTGTTTTGTCCAAACATTCCAATGTAATGTTACCTCTCAATTCTTTTTTTATACTTCGAACTACTATATATATTGCGTTTTCCCCGCGTTTATTTTTAACTTATTTGTATTCATCCATCTTTCCACTGCAACAAATGCCATATTCATTTTTCTTTCTAATTCCGCACTACTTTCTCCACTTACATACACTAACGTATCGTCTGCAAACATTTTTATATTACATTCTTCCTGACAGACTTTAATTATATTACAAGGATAGAGAATCTATTGCTGTGAGAGCCAACATATAATGCTTAGCAAATTTGCCAAGATGAGGAACAATTTCAAATCGAGATTTATAAGTTCCTCTTTCTTCCTAACAAATTCCCTAAAATTTCCTAAAATTAATATAAACGAAAAAAATATATCGGTCCGAAAAAGTCGATTCCCGATTCAGCCGACTTTTCGCCGAGTTCCGGCGGTTTAAAAAATAGCATAATTTTTAGGATGGAAAAGTGTTCCCTGCATTCTTTTAATTTAATAGTATATATTTTATAATGTATATTGTACACATTTTAATGTCCGTTTTATATTTGCATTAAAATTGTAATGTTCGTGAAAAGTTCTATTTTTAAATTGCTTATATAGTTTTTTTTCAAAAGATTTCTCAAGAATAGCAGTCCTTAGAAATATAATTCTGATGCCTTTTCCATTCTTATAAACAACTGTTGCGAGAAGAAATGAACATCCCACCCAAGAAGTGCGACAACGCGGGAGATGAAAAATTAAAAGAATTTTAAATGTGAAGGTCGAATACTTTTATTTCTGTAACATCGGAGTTTATATTTAAATACACTTATCAAACGCTTCTGCAACTTTTGTATCAAAATTGTATATACATACAAAAGAAAAAGTGCGGAACACTTTGATGAAGTATCTAATTGCTCTCATTAAATGGCGTGTTACGCAACCCAGCAAACACAGTATATAAATGTTATATACTTAAGCATGTTACATGTAACGTATATGTTAGTTGTAATTCCCACTCGTAGATGTAACATTTTTAATATTACATATATTACATTGTAGTTATATTGTCATTATATCCCAAGATAGCACTGACTTATCAATACATCAATGTGCTATTTGGTATATAATTACAATATAACTACAACGTAATATATGTTATATTAAAATGTTACATCTATCAGTGGGAAATTATAACTAACATGGATGTTACATGTAACGTACACGTTATATTATCTGTTATATTCCGTTTTATTATAGCAATGTAACAATTATATATCGGTGTTTGCTGAGTTAATATTACTGCCCCGATTAATTCAAGGCGCCTGATCGTCATTTTCTTAAGAGGCGCGATCTTGGTTTTAGAGCACATCAATTAAGATCGATTTCTTCCTTCTAAATTGGATGTTCGGATATAGACGACCGCACAGATGGCTAGTTGCGAAGCATCACAAAATCCGTGGACCTCAATTGCTTGTCCTGAAATAGTGTTTAAACATCGAGGAAATGTCAAATTAGGGATGTAAGTCAGATCCTCCTGATATTGAATCCACTTTTTGGCTGCAGAGACGGGAATAGGATCATCCCAGCCGATTTTCAGAGACCAAAGCTCTTGCAGAAATACAATAATCTCGTATACTGTAGCGTAGGCAGCGTCCGAATTTAATCTTCTTCTTAAACTACTCATAATCCGCAGAGCTCTGGAACGAGATTCTCCGAATTCAGTCGTAGATTTCTTGAAGGAAAGACTGGCAATATATCGTCCACTCCGATCACGTGAGTGAGTTATTTTAAAATGATATTTACATTCTTCATCCGGATAAAGTTGAGGAGGTTGAAAGAGAAATTAGAGAAACCTCTTCAAGTTCCCAAAATTGTTGCAATAATTGGTGGAGGTCTTGATCGATGGTAACGTAATATCCTTGCACTGAGCACAAATTAGGTTGAGTGCCGACTGGTACCGAAATTATCCATCCGAGTCGCGTACGCTGTGCTATCGGCGAGTTTATATCTTCTTTTATGAGTCCTATAATTTAGTTGTAGGTAGCAGCGCTTAAGAGTAAAAATCAATTTGTCGTGGCCTTTTATAGTTAGAATCTGCTAATATAAGCCCGTCGAGGTAGGGCCAAGATGTATTTTGAAAGTTCGTAGATGGAAGAGGAAATGTAAGCTACGGAATGTATGCTGAGATTGTGAACTCCGTGTCATCGAAATGCGAACGCAAAGTGAAGTGCGTCAATCCTTTGATTTTATTGGATCGTTACCTCCTAGTCCACTCAGGGGAATAGACGATGATGTGCGGGGAAGATGAATCCTTTGCACGACTCGTTCTGTTACTAACGTAATTTTTTAGCCTGGATCAATAAGTGCACGAGTCTTTAAAGTATCCCCTCTAAGGGATATAACGATGACTTGTGCTGTAGCGAGTAAGACGCCTGAGACAGCAAGAAGGCTGAAAAAAGCGTGATGAACATAGGCATCTGTGGCACTTGATGCGGTTGTATTTGATGAAGACGGTGCGGGAACAGCCATATCTTTTTTCGACGGTTCTTTTTCATGAATTGTCGAATGATGTTTTTTTCCACAGGTTTTTGGCAGCGCCGAGTATTACGACATGCGGAGACCCGATGTGGTCCGAGGCAATTATAGTACAAACGGTGCCCTTTCATAATCTCAAGTCGTTGTGGGACCAGTCTGGATTTGTACTGAGGGCAGTTGCCGAGATAATGTGCTGCTGAATATAATACGCATGGGTTTGACTTATTCGAGTGCGTATCTTTATTTCTTCCTTGATAATGTGCCTTGGCTCCGTCTTGCGTCCCTGAATTTAACAGCTCAGATTTTTCAAATGTTTGAAGTGAGAGCAACCTGGTGATTAAAAACTCTCTGAACTGACCCCAGGTAGGCGGTTCCTTGGACGAGCCCAGATGCTGCTCCCATGCTTTGACTTAATCAGAATTCAAACGTTTGTACGGTTATAAAGACAAGAAAATCGTCGTAATATTGCACTGGCCGTTGTAGAATCTCGAGGGTGCGATGGATCTGCATGATATAAGTATAAAGAGTCTCCATCTCTTGAGCTGATTCCTTCAACATACGCTTCAGACTCAGTAACGAATGCAGAACTGAGTTCACTAGCAGCCTTTTATTTATGTAAAAAAAGATAAGAGCATCTCATGCCTTTTGAAAGTTTTCCGATGTGAGCGTCGTATTTTTCAGAAAATAAGTGGCGGATCCAACAAGACTGGTCTTCAGATACTGTATTTTTTTGACGGATGATAGTGTCGGATGAGCTATAATCAAAGAACTGAATATATCTTTAAACAAAAGCCAGTCCGAGGGCGATCCGTTGAATTTCGGGATATCTATACGCGGTATAGTCGTGCGTGATGAGAGAAAACCGGAACCGAAAAATTTTGGGTCGACGACGAGCCCTCATAAATACTGTCAAAATCCTGCTCGAGCAACGTAGTCATTTTTTCCAAAGACTCGAGATAAGATTCATGAGTGCTTATAAATAAATTTTCAGAAAAATAAGTATTGTTAAGTAAAGAGATTTATTATCATAGCTAGACGGCTGGCGATTCGAGCCAGGCATCGCGCCGTCTGTTCATGTTCGATCGAGATACTAAGATCAGTTTCCTCATCGATACAGGTGCGAATCTTTGCGTGTTTCCTCGTAAATTAGTGCGTGGACCACGACAAAGATCGGCGTATGAGCGATTCGCCGCGAACGGTACGGTGATATACACATATGGCATACAGACACTTACGTTGGATTTCGGACTGCGACGCACGTTTACTTGGAGATTCGTGAACACGAACGTGGAAAAGGCTATCATCGAAGCGGATTTTTTATCCTACTATGGATTTCTAGTCAATTTACGAAATCGCCGACTTGTCGATGACGAGTCTCACGGCCGTCAGACGCTGTGTACGATGCAGCGTACCAAGCGTTAGAACAGTCACGGGAGTGACACCGTATCACGCGATATTAGCACGATATCCGGACATTACGAGGCCCAAGGGGCGGCCAAAAGAAATTAAACACAGGACTCAACACGACACCAGGACAACCGGTAGTGTGCGGGCCACGGAGGCTCGCGCCTGATTGTTTGGCAGCAGCAAAGAAAGAATTTCAACGGATTATGGAGCTTGGAATTATTCGACCGTCGAAGAATAGTTGGTCGGCACCGCTACACATGGTACCAAAAGATGGAATAGAGTGGCGATTATTGTGCGTTGAATGCGCGAACGATGCCAGATCGATATCCTATCAGACACATCCAAGATTTTACAATGTCATTACAAGGCAAACGCGTTTTTTCTACTATTAATTTAATTCGGGCGTATCACCAAATTCCAGTCGCGGAAGAAGATATACCAAAGACAGCGATAACAACACCTTTCGGAATGTTCGAGTTTCCATACATGCCAATTGGACTGAGGAATGCAGCACAGACCTTTCGAAGGTTTATTGACGAAATATTACATGGATTGGATTTTGCATACGCATATATTGACGACATCCTTATCGCATCGACGTCGGAAAAGGAACATGAAGAACATCTTGAGATTGTATTTGAACGACTACAGAGGTATGGAGTAATAATTAACCCGATGAAATGCGTATTTGGACAGACCGAAGTTGAATTTTTAGACTATAAAGTGAACAAAGACGGGACGCGACCATTGCCAAAGCGAGTGCAGGCAATTACAAGTATGAAAGAACCAAAGACCGCAAAGGAGTTGAGACGATACCTGGGAATGCTCAATTTTTATCGACGATTTTTACCGGGAGCTGCAGAAAAACAAGCACCTCTGAGTAATCTACTGACCGAGAGGGTTAAAGGAAAGGCAATTATAACATGGACTCCGCAAGCACGAAGAGCGTTCGAGGAAACCAAAGGAAACCTGACTCAAGCGACCCTCTTAGCACATCCGAGAATGAATATAGAGCTCGCATTCACGGATACATCGGACTACAGTGTCGGAGCTGTATTGCAGCAGCGTAAAAAGACGATTGGGAGCCCCTAGGGTTCTTCTCAAAAAAGCTGAGTCCGGCAGAGACGAAGTACAGCGCGTTTGATCGTAAACTTCTGGCGATATATCTGGCAGTGAAACACTTTCGGTATATGCTCGAGGCGCGAAACTTCTCAATTCATACGGATCATAAGCCATTAATATATGCATTTCGACAGAAACCGGAGAAATGCACACCGCGACAATTCCGACATCTTGATTTTATCGGACAATTTACAACAGATATACGGTACGGGTCAAGAGAAGAAAACGGAGTGGCCGATACATTGTCGCGAATTGAGGAAGTAAAGACGCCGTTAGACTACGAGGCGGTTGCGAAATCACAACGAGAAGACGACAAATGCGGAAAATATAGCCGACATGAAAACGGATTAAAATTAGAGCAAGTAACGATTCCAGGGACAATTACGGAGATCTTATGTGACAAAATGACTACAGTACCACGACCTTTCTTGACAAAGTCCATAAAGAAAAGCGTGGAAAATGCCACATAAAGAAAAGCGAAGAAAAATTTTATTAAATTAGTATATTGTGTATCAAGTGCGGAAAGTTGACAATTGGTCACGAGCCGAAGGCGAGTGCGACCACCCCACACGAGTGAACAATTGTCAATCCGCACTTGTTACACATACTATTTTGTATTGCAAGTGCAGGCAAAGTGGCTGTTTCGGCGCGTTTTCTGTGCGCGAGACGGCCAATCGCACGCCGCCATCTTGCCACGGCACGGTGGGGGAATAGCCGGTTTCAATACATTTCGTACGGCTTGAGCCGTATACAATGATTTTTAACGCGGCTCAGCCGTAGATAATGGCTTTGAAACCGGCTTATTCACTCACCGCGTCGCCGCTAGATGGCGGCGGGGAAATCGGCCGCTTTCGACACAGAAAACCTACACCAAAAGTGCCACATTGCCTGCACGTGTAATACAAAGTAAATTATATCCTAGAATAAAATGTGAGTTAAAAGAATATGTATATATAAACAGACGTCGCGACCGAGCATATAAAACAATAATAACAATAATAAAAAGCGTGCGACCGACACGACTAACACGAAATAATAAATAATAAGGCCCAAAGATAAGGAGAAAAATAAAAAAGGTTAAAACAAAATAGGCAGAAAGTTCTCAAACTGTACGGAGAGAAATATATTAACTCGCGTCCGCATAAAAGATTGTCCTCCATAAATTTTCTAGAATTTGATTATCTTTCATTATTGCTAATGAATAAATCGAGATGGTGATCGTGAAAAATATTATATAAATAATTCTTCAGACTTCTCCATATTTATCCTTGCACGCAATAACTGAAATAAAACCCACAAACTTAATTGAAGGTATCAAATGTAACATGTGTAGAAATTAAACACGAAGAAAATATTAATATTAATTGAATTGATTGTAATTTAAAATTATTGGTTTGATACGATAGTTCCTAAAAATAAAAATTAATAGCCCCCCTCTCTCTCTCTCTCTCCTCCCTCCCCCCTTCCTCCCTCCTTCCCCTCTCTCTCTCCCCCTCTCTCCCGCTTCCCCTCCCCCTCTCCCTCTCTCTCTCTCTCTCTCTCTCTGAAAGGCTCGAGCTGGTCTTGAAGAGAGCCCGATCAAAAAGAGAGAAAGAGAGAGGCAGACATACGAGGGCAGTTTGATAAGTCAGTGACTTTTTGAATTTCCCGCGCAGTAACTTGAAATGCAATAGTGCTGCCGTCAACTGCCATCTATGAATAGACTACTGTTCAAGTTTGAGCGAGCTGCGTAATTTAGTGTGTGTTTGACAGCCGTTGAAAGCAGACAACCTCGTGAATTGTAACGAAAATGGAAAAAAGTGAATTTCGTGTGCTGATTAAGCATTATTTTTTGCGTAAAAAAACCATCACCAAAACCAAGGAAAAGCTTGATAAATACTATGGGGACTCTGCACCATCAATTTCAATGGTTAAGAAGTGGTTTACAGAGTTCCGTTGTGGTCGTACCAGCACAAGTGACGCCGAACGTTCAGGTCGCCCAAAAGAGGTCGTCACGCCAGAAATCGTCAATAAAATCCATGGAATGATACTGGACGATCGGAGAATGAAAGTGTGTGAGCTGGCTGAGGCTGTCTCTACTGAGCGGGTACATCACATTTTACATGAATATTTGGACATGAAAAAGCTATCCGCGCGATGGGTGCCGCAACTGCTCACACTCGATTATAAGCGCAACCGTGTGACCACTTCAAAAGAGTGTTTGGCAATGTTCAGACGTAATCCGAACAAGTTTTTGCGCCGTTTTGTTACCGTGGACGAAACATGGATCCATCACAACACAACAGAGACCAAGGACAATCAAGACAGTGGGTTTCTCCGGGTGAACGTGCACCAAAAAAGGCCAAGATGGGTCTGTCGGCCAACAAGGTCATGGCCACCGTTTTTTGGGATGCACGCGGTATCATTCACATCGATTACCTTGAAAAGAGTAAAACGATCACAGACGAATATTATTCAGAGCTTTTGAACAGATTCAATATTGATTTGAAGCAGAAACAACCACATTTGGCGAAAAAAAGTGCTGTTCCATCCAGACAATGCACGGGTCCACACATGTGTAGTCACCATGGCAAAAATCCATAAATTGGGCTACAAACTGCTATCCCATCCAGCATATTCTCTAGATTTAGCACCCTGCGACTATTTCCTATTTCCAAACCTTAAAAAATGGCTGAGCGGTAAAAGATTTGGGTCGAATGAAGAGGTCATCACTGAAACAAACGCCTATTTTGAGGACCTTGAAAAAACCTATTATTTAGAAGGAATAAAAAATTGGAAAAACGTTGGACTAAATGTATCGAGATGTATCTGAACATAAATTTTATATTAATTATATAAATTTTAATTAATTATATATATTGATTTACAAATCTAATATATTACAATAGAGTCAGGCTGCTGCAAAATAAAAAAAATTAAAAACGGTCAAGATATTGTGAAAAAATAACAAAATAATCACAGTAGAATCTGTACAAGAATATTGAAAGTTATGGAACTTCTCTATTGAAGAGAACCCTAATAGCACAATAACATCCGAAAAATATTCAGAGGATATCCAGAGGACATTGGACATCCTTAGCAGTGCCGTCTTTACGCATGAGTCCGCTGGGCCCGGGCCCGGGGCTCCGGGTTCCAGAGGGTCCGCGATTTGTGTTTTTATTCTGCATTTTATAATATTTAGCTTTAACCTTTAGAGAACTGAAAACCTAAAAATAGGCTTTTAAAATTTGAAAAAAACGTAAAAAAGAAAAAAATTTTTAAATATAAAAAATAAAAAATAAAAATATAAGGAGTTACATAAACACTCTCTACGTCCACGTCGTTAACTCCGGAAAACGCTAAAGAAGAGTTATATCATGAAATCCTAAAATTTCTTACAGTTTTTAGTACAATAATGATGTAAGGAAAAAAAGGAACTCCCAAAACTAAATGTGCCAGGGGCCACCACATGACCAAAGACAGCCCTGATCCTCAGGATGTTCTTTGAACGTCTTCGGAATATGTGTGTTGTTAGGGAACTAACCTAATCTAATCTTACCTAACCAGCGCTCTTCACAAAAATTAAATTATACTGAAACAATAAAGCATTTTACACTAACACAGATAAAGTTTGGTTCAATTTTACTATTTTTAATAATTAATCGGTAAATATAAAGAATTATATAATAATTCATAATAACATATCCAGATAGCACTATGTCCAAAATTAGTGTATAAGACATTCAGCAAACATCAAGTAACTATAATATAACTGTTAGTTATAATTTCCCACTCAACAGTGTAAATGCAATGTAACACGTGTTACATTGTTGAGTAGAAAATTATATAACTAACAGTTATATAATTGTTACTTGGTGTTCGCTGGGCATCATTAAGAAATCTTTAAGACATCTTTTAAGAAATCTTATGATATCCCTATATACATATACGTATACATACATATATATATATATATATATATATATATTATATATATATATACCCAGCAAACACCGATATATAATTGTTACATTGCTATAATAATACGGAATATAACAGGTAATATAACGTGTACGTTACATGTAATATCCATGTTAGTTGTAATTTCCCACTCATAGATGCAACATTTTAATATAACATATATTACATTGTAGTTATATTGTAATTATATACCAAATAGCACATTGATGTATTGATAAGTCAGTGCTATCTTGGGATATAATGACAATATAACTACAATGTAATATATGTTATATTAAAAATGTTACATCTATGAGTGGGAAATTACAACTAACATATACGTTACATGTAACATGCTTAAGTATATTACAGTTATATACTGTGTTTGCTGGGTACAATATCCCAAAAACATCGTAAAACATCTTAAAGATGTCTTATGCACCAATTTTAGACACGGTGCTGTCTAGGTATATTTAAACAATTTTTTTTCATTTCTAACATTGTTTGTCACATTCAATTATGTAGGGTGGTGCACATTCGCTGTGCTTTACACCGAATGAAAAAGCGGGAGTCGGTTTGGGTGGCCGAATAGCATATAGCACATCCGCACCTTCAGACATCATTCGCAATGATCGTCTAGCGCCAACTATAGTGTACGTTGGGGTTCTGGATTTTACTACGTCTAGGTTGCACGATGGGTAAGGACCTGCGCTAATTACGGGTTTCGTCGTGACAGTGCGTAATCCCCTATAAAATGATTCTTCGTAATAACACGTTATTTCTAAATAAAACGGATGAAAATCACAAAGACCGGAATTCATAGACCGATCTTATATATTCAAGCTCGTCTTAAGGGAATGTTGATTAGGTCTGTTTTATTGACAAATATTATTTTAATTTAACTCTTCATTAGCTATACAGAATGAAAAATATGTATATAAAAAGAAACTAAGAAAGTTAAATAATTACAGTTTTTTATCGTTTAAGTTAGGTTGACCCAATGCAAAAGACTGATAGAAAAACTGTAATTTAGCTTTCTTGTTTTTTTCAATATACATATATGTAATAGCCCAGATTTGTTATTATGAATACTTTAATTCTAATAAAGAATTTTTCATTCTGTACAGCCAAGAAAAAGTTAAATGAAAATAATATTTATCAATAAATAATAAAAAAATAATATTTGCCAATGAATTCCGGCCGAAGAGTTTTAAAACGAACATGGAAAATGCCGGCACCCTAGCAATAGGTTTAATGTAGTAAGGCCCTGGTGTCTCGTCAGTTTTTCTCAATTTGGTTCTCCATTTTATTGAAAAGAAAGGACCGCGCGAAACATCTGGCAGCTTATATTTCGGACCGGGTCCAAAAGTAATATCTACCAAGTGCAAAGAGAAATTGAGGGATGACATAAGCAATTGTAATTGATTGACATAATCTATATAATTTAAATAAAAAAATGTTTTTATACCGCCATGTTTTAAGGCATGTCCAAAGGTGAATCCTATAAGTTTACGTTTGTCAATCATATATTTTGGTCCTGGAGTGTCTTCTACATCAAGGATAGGGCGACGTCCACCGAATGTATATGCTGGATTTCGATATTTCGAGATACAATGATCCCTATAGCCGACGAGTGTCTTGAGTTTATATTTAGGTCCAGGAACTATATAGATAATATTATTATAAGCTATATAATAATAATATAATTGTTAATAATTTTATTATCAAATGATTTTTGAATCTAAACATGATAAAAAGTGATCGAAAAATATTAATTACTAATGTTTGTTGATTGTAAATTCTCTCACATTAAAAGTAATTACTATAATTGTTAAATATAATATAATATTAACACTTTTAACGTGAGAGAATTTATAATTATTACTTTTGGAATATTATATTTTTAAATTGAATTTTCACCCCTGCGCATGATTAATATCAAAATTAGATATTTCGACAAATGCATACTAATTTGAAGGCACATAGTGGCAGTCTTTGCCTCTGTCTTCTGCGTCTTCTTCCCACCTCCACCTGCACCCTCATTTTTTCTGCGATCTCTTTTCAATGACATTTCTTTCACTTGTAAATTTGACAGTTTTATTTAACACATAATATATTTGGACGTGTCACATTACCATAATTTTGACTTTATTTTAAAGAAAACAATTGCCTATCATAAAATGATTTTATCATTTAGCCATCGTCGTATTCTTATTATAAAAAAAATTATTCTAAAAATATGAAAAAAATATTATTGTTTTAATATTAATAAAATAAATTGTTATAAAATATACAAATTATGTAAAATTTAAAAATAATATTTCACACAAATCTTTTCACAAAATAGATTTATTCCAAACAAATATAAAAGAATATAAAACACATATAATATTTACATACACATTAGTCTATATATATATATATATATATATTAAATTATGTATTTGTATATATATATAAACACATAATTTATAATTAAAGAATCAATCTTCGTCTAATTGTGTCATGGGTATTCCGGCGCATTGGCTATGCTTGACGCCAAAAGAATATATAGGTGCACGTTTTTGCGTGTCATACAATGGATAAAAAATTGGTGCTGGACTGTAATATTTTTCTGATATAATATATCTCCCCTTTAAACTATACGCCGGACTTCGTCGTTTTATGATGTTATAATCGATATTGATATACGCGGCCGGACCGGGACCTATAATTTCCTTAGATATTTCATTAAAATGAGCGCTGAAAAGAGATATAAAATGTATATTATATACAATAAGTAAATAAAAAAATATATATAATATAAAATTGTGTATAATATATATATATATATATATATATATATATAATTTATTATTATTATTAATTTATTATATACCCAGCAAACACAATATATAAATGTTATATACTTAAGCATGTTACATGTAACGTATATGTTAGTTGTAATTTCCCACTCATAGATGTAACATTTTTAATATTACATATATTACATTGTAGTTATATTGTCATTATATCCCAAGATAGCACTGACTTATCAATACATCAATGTGCTATTTGGTATATAATTACAATATAACTACAATGTAATATATGTTATATTAAAATGTTACATCTATGAGTGGGAAATTACAACTAACATGGATGTTACATGTAACGTACACGTTATATTACCTGTTATATTCCATTTTATTATAGCAATGTAACAATTATATATCGGTGTTTGCTGGATATATATATATATATATATATATATATATATATAATTTATTATTATTATTAATTTATATATATATATATATATATATATATATTTTATATATAATATAAATTTGTTACTTGGGACATGTATAAAATAGTGATATACATATATTAAACATACAACATACACATATATGTATATACTATATAGAGAGAAGGGAAAAAAGGAAGAAAAAAGATTAAATGTATTACATAAAATGAAAATAAACTGCATATATATGCGTGTTCTTACATAGAAAATGCACCCTGAGCAAACTTATCGGGCACTTTGGGTCCTATACACGTTGGTAAAGAATATGAATTTGGTCCAGGTCCTTCATCTAAAATTTTTGTTACACCACGTGACTTCATACTATAAGCCGGTGCTCTACGATGTTTCATAGATGGGCATAATTCGGGAGAGTAAGCTCCAGGTCCTGGTGCAAGATCTTGCACTATCAAAATACAAACTTACTAATATTTTTATATACTATAATTAACTTATTATAATTTTTTTCTGCTCAAATTAGGAAAAAAAAATAGCTCTTTCTCTCACGTTTCAATATTTCTCTGCCTCTAATTGTGTATGCAGGTGGATTATCACGCCCGGACTTCGTTAAATTTCTAATATTGTAACGAGGCCCAGGTCCTATTAAATAAGTTTTTAAGCCAGATCGAGCTTGCATGCTGTATGCTGGATTTCTGCGTCGAGATGGATCATGACCGTTATAACCAATTAATGTCGGCAATTTGTAAACTGGACCAGGACCTGTATTCAAAAATTTTATGTAATAAATATAATTCATGATTTCCACAACTCAAAGTAAATAATTATCGGATAACTTACTTTTTATCATGCAGCTTAACACTTTCGATCTATCTTCTTTGCCTTCCATTTTTATTATTGTTGTCCTGATATATGCAAGAGATATAATAAAAAATAAAATCTAAAGTCCATAAAGTCCATAAAGATCAATTAAAAAAATATTATAAAAATAAAAAAAATAAATATACTTTATGACACAACAGGTTATTAAAATATGAAAGTGTAAATTATGATATATAATTGATATATTCATAGTAACCAGTAAAAAATAAAACCATATACACATACATGTGTTTATTTATATTAATTTATATTTATTAAAATATATTTTGATTTAGAATATAAAATAATTAACAATTTATCTTAATCTTAATTTATTTATGATTTAATCATAAATTTAGTTTCTTGTATCTACATTACATAAAAAATGTTGATATATTGTTCCTTAAAATTACAAATTTTTGACATTGCAGTTTGATAAAATTTCTTTCGCAAAAGTTAATTCAAATATCACAAATTGCAACATTTTACCTACAAAATACAAAACAGTTTTTTTATTTTCCTACGATTTTTTGACCGATTTACACGATTTTGAAGCAAACCCTTTCTTAGAAATAATATCGTGTAAGTCGAAGAAAAATCATCGTAGATTAAAAAGTCAAAAACATTTTAAAGCTCGAAGTATCAACTTTAACATGCTATCGGTGATTATAAAAAATTTTCAAACCTTTTTCTGAAAAATACAACTTTAGTTATAAAATTGTATAGGTAACTTATCGGTCAAAAAAAAATCGTAAGCATCATTTTAAAAAAAGTGTTTTGTAAACAAAATTATGTAGTTTACGGAACAAAAGTTGAATTTTTCGAAAAAAAATTTTTTTATCGAGTTTCAAGTCAAAAGTATGTAATTTTACGGAACAAATCAGTAAGTTCCTTTTTAAAGCTTAGAACAAAGAAAATAAAAAAATTTTTATAATCTACCGACAGTGCGTTAAAGTTGACACTTTAAGCTCTAAAATGTGTTTTTAATTTTTAATCTACGAGGATTTTTCGCCGAGTTCCGGCGGTTTGAAAAATAGCATAATTTTTAGGATGGAAAAGTGTTCCCTGCATTCTTTTAATTTAATAGTATATATTTTATAATGTATATTGTACACATTTTAATGTCCGTTTTATATTTGCAATAAAATTGTAATGTTCGTAAAAAGTTTTATTGTATTTTTAAATTGCTTATATAGTTTTTTTTCAAAAGATTTCTCAAGAATAGCAGTCCTTAGAAATATAATTCTGATGCCTTTTCCATTCTTATAAACAACTGTTGCGAGAAGAAATGAACATCCCACCCAAGAAGTGCGACAACACGGGAGATGAAAAATTAAAAGAATTTTAAATGTAAAGGTCGAATACTTTTATTTCTGTAACATCGGAGTTTATTTAAATACACTTATCAAACGCTTCTGCAACTTTTGTATCAGAATTGTATATACATACAAAAGAAAAAATGCGGAACACTTTGATGAAGTATCTAATTGCTCTCATTAAATGGCGTGTTACGCAACCCAGCAAACACAGTATATAAATGTTATATACTTAAGCATGTTACATGTAACGTATATGTTAGTTGTAATTTCCCACTCGTAGATGTAACATTTTTAATATTACACATATTACATTGTAGTTATATTGTCATTATATCCCAAGATAGCACTGACTTATCAATACATCAATGTGCTATTTGGTATATAATTACAATATAACTACAACGTAATATATGTTATATTAAAATGTTACATCTATGAGTGGGAAATTACAACTAACATGGATGTTACATGTACACGTTATATTACCTGTTATATTCCGTTTTATTATAGCAATGTAACAATTATATATCGGTGTTTGCTGGGAAGTGACGAAACAAACGCGTGCAATTATTCATTGTCAATATCGCTTAACAAATATATAGAGAGATATTCGATAGTGCCGTATATAAATATCGCGAAATTGCATTGAGATGCAAGCATTCGATACGCAAGATTACACGATATGAAACCGACAATGGTGTGTCTAATCGTGACTATCCTGATCTACGCCATGATCCAGAAATCCAAGGTAAGTTATTTAAATTCAACAATTATTCTTTGTCAGAAAATAATGATGCGTTTATTTTGTCTGCAGGGAGATGTACTGGAGGACAATACACACGCCCTCCGTCCCTGTGCGCAACATGATAATCTGCTTTGTCAAGATGAAGATTACAAAGTCTGGCGTGAGGAAAATAAACGCAGATTTATACGTTCACCTCAAACAGGATTAACTTTTATTCCGGAATTTTGGCGGGGTAAACGTGACGCATAAATTATGACTCCCGCTTTTATCAGCATTATAGGCATAATACGCATGGAGCAAGAATCAAGTTTGCAAACTAAATAATTAAAATGTGTGCAGAAATTTTATTACGATATACTATATGATTATATAAATTTAACGTATAAGACGGGCAACAAGAGCCAAATCGCGGATGACAATGCGTTATCCTAACGAAACTAAATAATTTTTCGTTAGAATTAAATACCGGTGCACAAGGCACCAAATTTTTACTTGGACACGGCCAAGATTTTAAATATGAAATAATCTCATATTTTGAGATTTAATTTCAATACCCCTTTAACCCCTCTACGGAAAATAAATAAATGAATGCAAGAGAAAAATATAGATCCGAAAATCGCTGAATCGGGATATATGATTATAAATATTTTGCTAAAATTAATAAGGCAAACAAAACTAACATATTCTAGAGTTGTAGTATGAAAGAAATAGTCTTTAATAAAAATATACTATATACATATATCAAGATATATATAACGCCAATGTCTCTCTGGAATTTTCCTCCTCTTCCCTGAAAATCTGTGAGAATTTCTCGCATCAGCAAAAGATTCGCGGTTTTCTCTTCCTTGAAAACCTGTGAGAATTTCTCGCATCAGTAAGAGATTCGCGGTTTTCTCTCCCTTAAAAACCTGTGAGAATTTCCCGTACCAGCGAGAGATTCACGATCCCCTTCCCTCCTATGAAAACTATAATAGATTTCCTGGCATAATTCCCCCCCCCTCCTATCCTCCTTTTCCCTTTCACATAAATACATATATATGTAATATAAATATGATGTTTTCTAAATCGGCCAACAGAGCCAAAGCACGAAAAATTAATTATTCGGAACTGTATCTCTTGGTTTGAGATCACAAAGTTCCATATATAAATTAATCTCGAAACTTACATATGGAGAAATAGGCGCGAAAAATATAGGTCCGAAAAGTCGCTGAAGCGGGAATCGAACCCGCGTCTTTCACTTTCCGGGCGACTGCTCTTACCAACTAAGCTATTCAGACCCTTTTGTATTATTAATACGAATAATTAATTTTTCGTGCTTTGGCTCTGTTGGCCGATTTAGAAAACATCATATTTATATTCTTTATATTGAGAGCCGATAAAAATATTTATTTCTGAGACATATATATGTATTTTCTAGTTTTTCTTTAGTTCCGATAATCCAAGAATTATTATTACTCTTATTACTATTATTATTATTATTATTATTATTATTATTGTTCGCGGCTATTCCTATGTTCCTTCCTGGCTACGAACATCCGGTAGGAGTCCCTGTGGAGATCCTTCAAGCTTTCCTTCCTCCCCCCTCTACCAGAATCATCAACATCCTATGACTCCGACGCACACAAACACACACATACACATACACGTAGAGAAGTAGCTATTTAATATATCTATTTTTGTAATATCCAATCGGGACCCTTATACATTTTTAACACTAACTCTCTCCTCACTAGTCCCGATTGAAACCCTCTGTACTCATGTATCGCCCGCGAAACACACACGCACACACACACCCACACACATCCATTCACTAGGATTGGCGAATAGAATTTAAGAACGTTTTTTATTTTAAAATAAATGAATTATCTCATGAACCTTCTACTTTTACTTAATTAACTCTCTCCTCCCAATAATCACACTACTAGGTCCAATCCTGAGCAAAAGAGATTTAATTCTCTTGCCAAAAAGGGACCACCGAGAGAACAGCCTCTAAATAGTGTAAAGTGACACTCCCGGTCACTGACTTATTTGGGCCTTCGCACGTTCACTCGGCTCAAACAAACGCACCGCCAAGCTTGTTTGAGGAATAAGTATTGTTGCGTCCTTCCTTCGACTCTTCTTTTAATTGAGTCTGGACGTAACATAAATTTAATTATTTTTTTTTAATTTATTTTATTAATTTAATTAAATTAAACATTTAATTGTTATGTGAGATATGACTACAATATAATTTAGTGATTAAACGAATTTAGCTAGTGAAGTTCAATCATAATTATGCTGGGGATCTCGTCCGGATGAAATATAGCGTAGTCGTGCCTGTGTGCACGCATATGCAACAAATTTCAGATCCTAAAGCAAAAGAGCCCCAACTTAGGAGGCACGGGCCGCGACGTTGCGTTGTTTAGTCATAGTTCAAATCCAGTAGGCAAATCGCGAAAAAATTTTAAAAAGAGGTGAAGATGAAAGCTAACAGAGGGAGGGAGTTTTATCCGGACGAGACCCCCAGCATAATTATGATTAAACTTCACTAGGTAAGTTCGTTCAATTATATAATTTTGCAAATATTTGAGAGTCGGCAGACCAGCCTGCTGCTCTCTTGATTAAATTTACAGAGACGCCCTTTTTAGCCGCGAAAGATGTCGACGCGTGACGAGTGCTATAAGCAGCAAAAGAATTATCTACTCCGCAATCTATCAAAGCCTCACGAATCCATCTACTTATGATTTGTACGCCAACAGCTTTATGAGGTTTTTTAAACGAAACTAAAAGATTATCGTAATTACTTGAACGCAAATTTTTTGTGCAAAGTAAGTAATGTTCCATTAAGCCGATGATGCAGAGATTAGATCTGTCAAGAAAACGAGAAAACGATAAGAGCGGTTGAAAACGACCCGGAGCAGAAACCTTCAAGCGATCCGGAACTTTAATGATCATTCTTTCCCCAAGAAAAGAGATTTAGGAAATA